ACAATATACTCAAGTTGGTTATAATTAAAAGGTTAAGCCTTGTATGTTTAAACAACCAGGTTTTATTAAAAACACTCGGTTAAATTTAAAAAACTAGGTTAAAAGGAAAGTTTCCATAATTCTACTAAGATAGCTTCTCATGTTTTATATTATTAGATTTTTGATCAATTAAATTCTGAGTTTTAAATGTTGAAAGTTATTTAAGTATTGGGGCTTGTGAGATAGCTCAGTGGTCTAAAGTGCCTGCTTAGGCAAGCTTAGGTAAAGCACAGGTACCTCAGATCAATCCCTGGCAACATATGCTGTGCCAGCCCTGCCCCCAGGGTGGGCTGAGCTGGCCACTAAAAAAAAAATTTAAGCATTGACTTGTAAAATATTTTCAATAATCAATTTATGATAGGCTAAACAGTTATTTTAGTCTATGATATAATTTTATATCTGAGAGTAGAGATACATCTAAAAACAAGATATGCCGAGTCTAAGCTTTAAAGTTAAATTTATAAAATTAAAAAAGTAGTAAGTGCTCTCTTTTAAACAAAATACCTTAAGACATTTAAAAAAAAAAAAAAAAAGCAAAATTTGGCTTCTCTTAATTTGGTCCTGCCCTCTAAAATTGGATCTATTTGCTTTGATTAAATAAATACTTTGTTATTATATAAATGAGTTATATATTGAATGATAGCTCTATTGGTGGTCATAAAAACCATTTCCTAAATTTGTAAGTGCTCTAAAGATGTCCTTTAATTCTTGTAAGTGCAGTTATGCACTGTAAAATCTATTAAAAGAATATAAATTTTGCCTTAATAAAAATTAAATATGTACAAAGATTTCTATATATATAGCTATCACACTAATTATTGCCAACCTCAGGTATATGAATGTATTTATGTTTCCCAAGTGAATAGGTCCTCAAAGATACAAAACTGAAAAAAAATCAGACAGTAACTCCTAGGCTAAAGTTATCTATGATGGTAAACTTTCAGACTCAGACTCTGGCTTTCTGTTACTTGTTTTCCAGGTACTTGTGATGAACCGAACATGCTAATCCAACATAAGCCAGCCAGCCAGATGATACAGATATATTTTCAGACTTATGTTTGCATGATTGTTATATAATTGTGTTACACTAGTTAGAGGTACCTAAACACTGGAGTCCAGACAATAGCAGTCCAATGATTAGAAACTAGGCACTAATAATATGAAAGCACATCTATGAACAAGTACATTTCACTTATATGTCACTCCGGTAACAAAGGGTTGTTAAAAGATACCAAATTTAGGTTCTTGTTCCCCTTCCTCCTCCTCCTCCTTCTTCTTTTTGGTACTGAGGTTTGAACTCAGTACCTTGCGCTTGCCAGGCAGGCACTTCAGCTTCTGAGCTATCTCCCTGGCCCAGTAAAATATTCTTTATGTCACTCAGTATTTTGTAATTAGATAAAGGTTAACTGATTAAAAAGTTGTTTTATACTAAAAAGGAGATTTAAATGTTTCAAAGACAGTAACAAAAACTTCAGGGTTCTGGTGACCATGACAGATAAAAAAATAGCAATTCTCTGGTCATTATTTATATTTCATGGTGCTTGATACGTACATAAAATAGTTAAACCAACAGCTTCTACTACAATACTGGTGTAACTGATCTAACAACTGACGTCTGGAGACCAAAGCTAAGAAAGGATAACTGGGTTAACATGTCAGTCAATAGATTGACCCTGGCCCTCCAATGTTAACAAAGGAACAGGACATGAAGGACCTTTCTTTTTTTTTTTTTAATTTAGGACAGGGTGTACAGGGTCTCACTGCGTAGATCGGACTTGTAGTGATCCTCCCATTTACTGCCTCCCAAGCGCTGGGATTACTGGCGTGTGCTACCATGCCCAGTCTCAATCACCGGCAGGGCAAATGAGGGACCTTTCTACAAGATCCTACAACTCTGAAGAGTCACCTGACCTCCTGAGCAGGGAAATTATTGGACCCCAGAGAACAGAGTCAACTACTGTACACTGCTTAAAGGAGGGCAACTAAAAAGAACACATCCTGTGCTTCTACAAGAAGCCACAAGGTCAAGCAAGTCTATAACCCATCCTGGTGAATGACACTGACAGTGGAGATAAAAGATTCCATACATGGTTCTGAAATTAACCCCCGAAGAACCTTAACTACTGTGACATGCATAGCAACAGATTAATTTTGATCAACACAGGTCTCACTTTAACTTAGTCTTAAAACACACAGCAGAAAGCGTAATAAAAAAAATAGTAAATAGGTTAGACATGGAAAGGGGTCTCCAATTATTATAACTCGTTAGCAGCCTCTAGTTTAACCTGTAGTTGACCACTATTATAGTTTAATGAGACCAGAAAGTCATAATAGCAACTATAGAAGCTCAACAAGAGTCTTTAAATTGTTTCAAAACCAGAGCTCAGCTAAATCTAGCAGCACTTATGTACTAATAAATAAAACTTGTCTTTCTTTTCCTATTTTCCCTTCTCCTCTTCCCTTCTCTCCCCTTCTCCTCTCCCTCCTTCCCTCTCTGTTTCTTTCGTCTTTTTGAGACAAGGTCTCACTATGCAGTTCAAGCTGGCCAAGAGCTCACTTTGTTGCCCAACTTGTGTACATCACCACACCCGACTACAACTTGTCTTTAGATAAACAACTGACATCAGGTGAAGAAAGATCTTAAAACAAAATAAATGTCAGACTTATAACCTCCATAAATAGGCAGGTTTAGGACACTGGTAATTACAATCCCCATTCTAGTCCCTTAAAAATAGTGTCTAACCTTGGAGCCTACCCCAATTTGTCTTTTCATTCTTGTTCTTATGTTTGGGCCATGAATTCTTTATTTCCTGATAAAATTTGTGTCTTCTCGCTTACAGGCTGTCAAACTCAAATGGTCACACAAATGAAGCCAACAGTGAATGTGCTGGACTCCTTTGCTGGGGTCAACTAGATTGATCCTCTAAACAGAGTCCATAATTGTTAGACCTTAACATGACTTCTGTCCAAGTCAGATCTCTGGACAAAGTTTGTGCCCCTACATCAACTCCTTTCAGCATGAACAGTTAGATTTGGTCTTCTGCTGTTCTCCCTTAGCAGCAGTTAAAGGTAGTTTGTCATAGGGGTGAAATGTAGAAAAATTTATTTGGTTACCTTATGAGTAAGGCAGAGTAGGGTATCCAGCCAAACTGATAAAAATGAAGCATAGCTAGTGAACCAGGAACTCAGACAAAGAATGAATTTCCTCTGACAGCACGGAATGCAGCTTATCTCCTAATAATGGGAGGTGCAGCCACTTTCTATTAAATCCCTAAATTTCAAGGAAATTATAATGCAAATTAACCAGGTCCTTCTGAGAGCCATTTCCTGTGCACACTAGAAGTTGTAGAACTGGGTTAAAAGCTCAAGTTCCAAATGGTGTTTTTAAATTCACAGAGCCACCTGTGCTAGGTGACCATAAACTCTGCATATATACAATTAGCTGTAATTCAGGGGGCCATATGGCCACCTCATTTGGAAATGCAGGAGAAAGTCCAGGAGCTAGGCTTTTCCTTCCAAAAAAACTCTCCAAACCTCCAAAAATGTTTCAATTAATGAATCTGTAGGCAAACAGTGATAAAGAAATTACTTTCTCTCTTTAGTGCGCCATGCCTATTTGGGCCAGGTTCATTAGTTAGGAGTTTAAGTTTATTATTCTACTTCTCCAGGTCAAAGACTTAGCAAACTGAAGGGATTAAAAGACAAAGAAGGAAATTTTCAATCTATTCTCCAGTTTCTCACAAGTATGCTGGATACAGACTTTGCTATTATCATGAAAATTTAGCCAATTCTTTACAATAGTCCCTTTTCTTTGCACAGCAAGCTCTCCTAGAAAATCCTTGCTGGAAATGGCCTTAGAAGGTGCAAACTAAGATAGCAATCTCTTGTAAAATTCAGTATCTAGGGAGCCTCCTGGACCAAGGACTACAAATTCTCTGTTGTGAGGTTTGTTACGATCTTTCCACCTACTTCCTCTAAAACTGTTCTTTTAGTTAAATAACATGGAGGTTGGACCTTTTGATTCAGGCAGCCTTTTAACATTCAGCTGAAACATAATATTCTGATATTTGTGTATCAATCTTAATTACTGATACACACAATATCCCTAAGTACCAACACCCAGGATATCTCACTATGCTTCGTGCACTTTTATTTCTGTAGGCCCACCTCTCATTATATCTAACATACAAAATGCATCTACCTCCCCTATTAAACAGCTCTTCACCCAAAACAATGAAAGAATAAAATTTTTCTTTTCTAACTATTTCCCTATAAATAATCTGTAAAATTTACTACTAGGTTTGAATTCTTAAGTATGAGTCACATATAGTCAAAGAATTCTTGCAAACACTTTGTAGACCATTTTTCATTAAGTAATTTTAATTTGGAATTTTCTTTCCCTATTTTCAAGAGTCTTTTTTCACCCTAGGAATCTAACCTGCCGTAACTCTTGGATAAAATAGGGATAAGTTCATAATTGCTCACATCAACCCGTATAATGCCCCACTGGGACTGTTACTAGTATTCATGTTATCAATGATGAGTGCTCAGACAGAGATTCATTTTATCTATACCAGAAAGCTCCTCTAAAACCTAACGATTCTTGAAGATAAATGATTAGAATTTGGGTTCAAACATTAAGTTCATTCTTTTCACGCCTCCTACCCACAGCGACAACAAAAACAGCGTCTTCTATCGGCTTATGATCTTTGTTTCTATTTCAAATTGACCCGTAATTTCTAAGAAGTCCAGAGGGTCGAGTGGTGCTGAGAACAGCAGCGACCAGCAGAAGCCCGCGGAGCGCCGCGCGACCCGGCTGAAAGCCGGTCCAGAACCCGAGCCCGAGGCCCCGCCCCCCGCGTCAGCGGCCGCGCGGACACGCGCCTGGCTCGCCCCGCCCCGCCCCGCCCGGCCGCGCGCTCTCAGCCTAGCGGAGGCCACCCTGCTAGCCGCGAGGTTTACTCACTTGTGGAAAGAAACAGGTTTATCTTTATCATATCGGTTCTTGCAGCCGTAGGCGGAGCAGGACTGCACCATTCTTGTGGATCTCAAGTCACTTCACTTCTGCTGCCCTAGAAGGCAGGTAAAGGTGCTTTCCGTGTCGCTGCGCTCGACTTTGAGACTCTTGTCTCTTCTGTAGGTTTTCGTGAATTGTTACAGGGATGGTAGCCACACTCGAGAGTGACTACTTTGCTCGTTTTGTTGTTTGCATTAGCGGAAGAACCACAACCATCACCCGTCTCCCATCTCTAAGATGGCGGAGGCAGCTTCAACCTCACCTCTCGCGAGAAGTTCTCCAACGTCTCTGATTAGCTCAGAGATCAGAGGTAACGTTTCCTGCAAAGCACACCATTGGCTGAGGCCAGTCGGGTCCCCGCCGTGCTTAGCGTTGCGGGAGTGGGCGGGGCTTTCGAGGTCTGGTTGCGAGAAAGGGTGTATTTGTGCAAGGAGTCAAGGTAGAAGGCGGAATTCCGGGGCGGGCTTTGGCGCCCCTTGGTGTTCCGCGGATTTGGTCTGTGTGTAGTTTTCCTTTTGGGGCTCAGCGTGGTAAACAGGGAAACCGATGTGCACTTGAAATTGTATTTGTACCCATTTCTTTAAACTGGTGTAATAGATGATGTATGATTTACAAAATTTTGTGGATCAGCTCCTCAGAGTGCTAATCTTTATCTCATCTGTCTCCAGGTAGACCCACAGGGGCGAGCATTTTAGCAAGAAGACAAGACAGTCATGTGCTGCGAGGCCGAAGCGAAATTGCGAGTGATTTTCTTAAGTGAAACCACCGGTGGATAGTCTGCTTCCCTGCCCCTCTCGCGTAGATCCCAGCCTGGAGGGTGGACTGTTGAATAATTCGGTGGACTCTGTACTGCACTGTTCTGCTTCCTTAAATGTTGACGTTTCCCTCTGGATTCTAACTTTTGCCTTTCTTACAGCACCTGGTCCCTTGAACTCAAGTGCCATGATTTCTTAAGTGTTTTACTTCCACGAAAATATGTTCTCTCTTTTTGAGACAGATTCTCAGTGTGTAGTGCAGGCTGGCTTTGAGCTGACTTGTGTAGCCCAGTTTTGTGGCCTCAAACTCAGAGGATCCTTCTGCCTCAGCTTCCTCTGTACAAGGATTACTGGTCTGTGCTACCACAACAGCCCATAAATGTACTGACCAGAATTTTCATCTGGATTAACTGTTCAACAGCTGCCTAGACCAGAAACCTTGGAATCATCTATTTTTCACCTTGAAAACCCCTTATGACTATGTTTCTTTTATAGAATAGAATACCTCTTAACTCTCTCATCAGCATTCTCATCAGGCCCTCATGGTTAGCTGGAGAACAAATACAAGATGAGGTTAGAGAGGAACAAGGCCATTTGACTAAAATGGAGAATAGGGTTCTTGTGTATGTGGTGCTGGAGATCAAACCCAGGGCTTTGTGTGTGCTAAGGAAGCATTCTACCATTGAGCTATGTATCCAGAATAGTCTTTTAAGAAAAGTAGCACACGTTTTAAAATGATCGTTCTCAGGAAGGTGTGGTTCTGAGGGTTGGGGAGATAGCTCAGTAGAATAAGCTCTTGCCTGGCAAACGCAAGGGCCTGGGTTCAATCCCCGGTTCCACTAAATAAATAAAAGGAAGGTGTGGTTCTGCTTACCTGTGACCCCACTGTTCAGAAAGCTGAGACAAAAGCTCTAAGTTATGTCAAAAAGCTGGGGAAAAAATTTTCTCTGTTGCCTTTAGATACCTTGGGACAGTTAGGGCTGGTCATCTGGTTTATGTGGTGGTAACAATGAAAGAGTAAGTGATCTTGCCTTGTCCTGGTTTTGCTTTTATTTATTAAGCCACTACTGTGGTAGGCATTATGCTAGATCTGGGAGTACACTGGTAAAACATTTAAGTGTGTATAAACCTGAGTTCATTGCCTCCCCAGACAGTGATCGGGAGCACAGAAGGAGAAATTCAGAGTATTTGTTAGAAATAAGAAGCTCTTAGATAACCACCAAGAGGGGAAAGAAGTCCAAAGTCCAACATGCTTATTTTGTTTGTCATGACCCATTTATATAGGTTTTTGTAGGAAGGTGGTTTTCAAAGGTATAGTTAAAAAAGGAATTGGTTATCATGTAATGTGTGAAGGTATGTAAGAGCTGTTAATTTAGCATACTCTAGTAAGTTTCCTTCCTAGGAGGAGAGATCTATCCTCTATTCTTTTCCTTTTTATTCCTTTTTCTTGTGTTTTATGTTTCTAAGCTTAATTGGCTGCCTGATTAACAGCTGCTTAAATCAGCTCTTTTGGTTGCAGCTCTTTAGGATAAGGTTGCTCAGCCTACTCATAATAACTCCTGTGTTAGGAAAAGTAACACAGATTCCATCTTCATAAGGTTTATAGTCTACTGAGTGGAAGACAAGAACAAAATAAAATAACATTGTATTAAGGTGCCTAGATACATCAGAAATGCTGTCAGGGTGGACAGAGCAGAAGTGTCACTATGTAGAGCCTTGCTTAGTTTTTCACATAGACATGTTAATTGCTTCAGTATTTACTGCAATAATTTGTTAGTCCTATATTTAGTCTATCTCATTCCTTTACTACATAGGATATAGGATACCAAGACGAATCATGAAAGTAGTTTTCAGGATTTATAAGGCACAGTTTTCACAGCATCAACTTCCAGACGACTGGAAGTAAACAGTGCCTATAGATCTCCAGCCATTGTTATAGGTCTGTACTCACCTTGGGTTTCAGGAAAAAGCACTGACTTGTAGATCATGCTTGATACCATCTCAGTGAGGAGGGACAGTTGCTCCATATAGGAATCAGGGTACCCCCATCCCAACCAAGAACAATCATCTCATGGGAACTAATTGTCCTTCAAGCTGTAAAGATCCCGCCTGAGTTACAAAGCCAGCACTCAGATGACTGACCAAACCCTGGCTCACCTTAGCAAATTCATAAAAGTCTTTTGCCTCTGTCCTTTGTGAGGTACCAGTCTAAACTTCCATCAGTGAGACTCTTCCAGTTGCAGAAGATAGTAGTAGCTTGGACCAATGTGGTATCGGAGTGGTGGGATTTTTAGATACATAGGTGGTAAAAATGCTAGGATTTGCTGATCAGTATTATGTGAGTCTAGCTATCAAGGGTCATTTGAGCTTGATTTTCTAGCTTAAATGTTTGACTTGAGCATTTAGATGGATGGTGAAGGTATGGGCCATTACTTGACTTGCAAATGAACTAAAAGAATAAAAGCTACTTATCTCAACAGAAAATTTGGAAGGGGAAGACTTAGGAAACTGGGTAATTGTGGTTACAATATTGTAGAAAGACTGAAGAGAGTATAAAGAAGTCCTACAGCTTGAGAATGCAAACTGAAGGAGCAGCAGGACTATTAGCCAGTGTGGCCTGCTGATTTTTTTTTTAAATTTTATTTATTTATTTATGTGTGTGTGTGTGTGTGTGTGTGTGTGGCCAGCTCAGCCCACCAGGGGGCGGGCTGGCTGGCATGTGGTGCTGGGGGATTGAACTGTGGTCCCTGTGCTTTGCTAAGCTTGTTCTAAGTAGGTGCTTTAGACCACTGAGCCATCTCACCAGCCCTGATTTTTTAATTACTAATCTAGAATGAAACCAGTCAATTCAGTTGTCCCATGGCTGGATTTCTCTGCTAAATTCTTTTTTTTTTCTTTTCTAAATTAATTAATTAATTAATTAATTTATTGTGTGTGTGTGTGCGCGCACGTGCGTGTGGCCAGCTCAGCCCACCAGGGGGCGGGCTGGCTGGCATGTGGTGCTGGGGGATTGAACCGTGGTCCTTGGGCTTCAGACTTTGCTAAGCATGTTCTAAGTAGGTGCTTTAGACCACTGAGCCATCTCACCAGCCCCATCTGCTAAATTCTTTTTCTTTCTCCTTCACATTCCCATGTGTATCTGTGTGTGTGTGTGTGTTGGGTGGGGTAACTGGGCCTTGAATTCAGGTCCTCTGGACTAAGCCACATGCCCAAACTTGTGATTCTTCTGCCTCAGCCTCCCAGAGTGCTGGAATTACAGGCATGCTTACCATGCCTGGCTCTGATGTATTTTTGATAACAGCATCCATGCTCTGTGGACCTCCTTTTTACCTACAGAATAAAGCTATGGTACCAAGGAATTCTTAATTTGGGGAGCACAAATCTGCAGATGTTTGATGAATCCCAAGAATGCAAATTGGTTCATGTATGTTGTAGGAATTCAGACTGACATAACTATAGACATTTTGGTTATAACTGCCATTTTGCCCATAAAAGTGACTAGAACATAGTTTCTAAGTCATACAGCATAAACAGAGTTGATAAGATAGCTTTTGTATTCCATACTGGCTGCTGATGCCTGGACTGTTCCTTACCAACATTTGATAGGTTAATAGTTTTTGAGAAAGCCTATGTTATGACTACATTTGTGTAGTTTTAACAGAATCTCTTCCTCCTATCTTCGGATGTGCGACTCTTATCTCAGTGCTAGCCAAGTTATGCTTTCTCTTGGTCCCTAATAAGCTGCCTTTTGTGCTATCCTGATCTTTGTTCTTGGATCTTTTGGTGTCTTCCACTTATGGCATGGAGTTCTTGATAAAAATCAAGTTTTCCCCAAACACTTATGTATATGTGAGATATATATATATATATATATATATATATATATATATATGATCTATCCATAATTTTCATCTGAAAATATCACAGATACTATAAAGAATTTAGGCATTACTGAAAAATTACAATAAGCAAATACAAAGCAAACTAGCTTTTTCTCTAAGACCTATTAGATGTTATTAAATGTCACAATGAAACTCAATGTATACAATTAGTATGTGCTAATAACTAAAAGAGAAGATGTGTTACCATTTTGATCTGAGTATTAGGTATTTTTAGTTTTGTTTTTAAAACTAAATCTAAACTGTTAGATATGGTAACCTTAAAACATCTTTAGACTTTAACCCTCTCTACTCCATAGTATATTCCTTGCCTCAAGAGGCATAAAATCTAAGAAGATCAAGTCTGCACTAGGGACAGTTTTGTCAGAACAATGCTGTGTTTTCTAATGGGGCATTTGCTCCCCATGTGTAATGACAAATCAGAAGATGAGGAAGACATTGGCTGGTAACACCCCACATAGTTTACAGTGAAGGAATGGATGCTTAAATACTGATGCCATAAAGACTGTCAAGTGCTCAAGATCTATCAAGATCTATGAAAGTTTTGCCTCCTGTCAGAGGCGGTCTGTTTGGCCTGTTCTTAGGAGATCCTTAAGACTGAGGCCAGCCTGGACTACAAAGTGAGCTCAAGGACAGCTGAACTGCATAGTGAGACCCTGTCTCAAAAAGACAGACAGACAGACAGACAGACAGACACACACACACACACACACACACACACACGACTGAAGCCAGAAAAGCCTGGAATGTCTTGCTTCTCCAAACCAGTCCCAGGTTTACAGACTGCTGTCAACAGATGGGCCTAGACTATACCCAGTGTTGCAAAGAGCTGGCTGGGCATGCTGGTGAACACCTGTAATTCCAGCACTCTTGAGGCTCAGGCAGGATTGCAACGTTGAGACCAGCCTAGGAAATTTAGTGGCATGCCTGCTGAAAAATACAGAAAATTTAAAAAGTGCTAGGAATGAAACTCAGTGCGAAGGCCCTGGGTTTAATCCCCAGTACTAAAGAAAACAAACAGCTGCATGAGGGACACTGTAAGACACATGAGGGCACAGACTCAGAAAAATCTCACTTGTCAATTTTGTGTGTGTGTGTGTGTGCGCGCGTAGGGTCACAATACGCAGCTCGGACTCAGTGATTCTGATTTCTGCCTCCCCAGTGCTGGGATTACAGGTGTGTGCCACCATTAGGGGATTCTTGTAGGCTCAGTGCACCCAGTGGAGGGCAGGGCCAGTGTGGTATGCGGTGCCAGGAATCGAACTCTGGCCCCTGTGCTTACCTAAGCAAGGGTTTAGTCCACTGAGCTATATCACCAGCCCTTGTAATTTTTAAATACACAATCAAAATGGTAAAAAAAAGATCAATCTATAGAGATTTAGTATAATCTATTTAACTAAAGTTAACTTTTTTTGGTCCAGAATTAAATTGCCCAGATTAAATAATTTTCCTTAAACTAGGCATGGTGTCACATGCTTGTAATCCCAGCATTGGGGAGGCTGAGCCAGGAAATCACTGCGAATGATTTCATTATTGAGTTGAATTATAGTGTTAAGAATTAAGTTGTAGGGGCCGGGGAGTGCAAGGGCCTGAGTTCAATCCCCGGTTCTGCAAAAAAAAAAAAAGTTGTAAAGTCAGTACTTAAAGAAAAATCATGTATAGCTAAAATTACCATCATAGTAGAGTACACACAGTTTCAGATGTAAGCCCATAGAGGAATGTATGTGTACAATGAAATTTCCATAATGGTCCAGAGAGATAGCTCAATGGCATAAGCACCTGCCTGGCAAGCATAAGGTTCTGAGTTTGATCTCTGGTACCAAAAAGAAAAAAGTGCCCACAATAATTATGGGATATAATAAAAAGGTACACATGTAAACTATGAAAGAAAAAAAAAAAAAGCCAGGGAAATAGCTCAGTGATTTAAGAGGATGCCTGGTAAGTGCAAAGACCTGGGTACTATCCCAAGTACCACATGCTGTGCTGTTCCCAAAACCTGGCGTGGTGGCGCACACCTGTAATCCCAGTGCTGGGAGGGGTGACACAGAAGGATCACTACAAGTCCAAGCTGTGTAGTGAGACCAAATTAAGTTTTAAAAAAAATCTACTGCAGCCAGGCATGGTAGTGTACACCTGTAATCCAAACACTCTGGGAAGATGAGGCAGGACAATCCAAACTTGTATTTCACCTGGACAACTTACTGACTTGAGACTCTGTCTTTAAAATAAAAATTAGGGGCTGGTGAGATGGCTCAGTGGTCTAAAGCATCTACTTAGAACAAGCTTAGCAAAGCATAGGGACCGTGGTTCAATCCCCCAGCACCACATGCCAGCCAGCCCCGCCCCCTGGTGGGCTGAGCTGGCCACACACACACACACAAATAAAAAATTAAAAAAAAAATAAAGTCCAGAGAGAGATCAGTGGCAAGGTTCTGAGTTTGATCCCTGGCACCACACGAATGAATGAATGAGTGAATGAATGAAAGAATGGGGATACAGCTCAGTGCAAAGGCCTTGAGTGAGTGAATGAATGAATGGCTGGGGATATAGCTCAGTGCAAAGGTCTTAGGTTCAATCTTCAGTACAATGAAACAAAAACCACTGTGATAGTTGTAATTAGTGCTCTCAACAGTTCAGAAAAAATATATACCTTTTAAAAATTTTTAAATCACTGCTTTTATTCAAAAGAATAAAATATTTGACAAACTTCAAATCACAAAATTCAACCAATCAGTCCTGCACACCAACTCCATGAGGTAGGTATCTGCGAGCCACAGGGGTCATCACCATGAGTCCTGCCCCTGCTTCTCTCAATTGTGAAGTGTGGGCACTGAAATCACTATTCAGGTGGCTGTAAGAACAACTGTTGCTGTCTTCTTCCCCCACAGAGCTGCCCAAGTTGTGACCTGAGCCGCTCCTGGGTTGGACAATATGTTTTTGAAAGTTGGATTTTTTTTTTTTTAAGTTGAAATAGTTGTTTTGACTTATATGTTGTAACTCTGAATTATACAAGGATTATTATGATGGTTAAAACACTGACTGTACTGTAAATACTCTCACATGTCTTCTGCATTTATCACCAGTGATCAGGGAAGATGACTATACAATCAGTTCAAAAATTCTGAGATGTTAAAATGTTTACTTTTCAGTTTAATAAGACCACAGATCATATAGTGCTTTTGTATATTACAAAATTTGGCACAATACATCTCTACCAAGAAAGCAGCAATAATTTCAATGTTACAAAATTATAGTAACCAGAAACTTGACACTTGGAGAACACATACACAGAAAATAAAGTTATTTCAGAAAATGATGTTGCTATAGTCCTACACCAAATTTATCATGGGTAGGATGTACATTTCCAGTCTGACATAATAAGTGCCTACACATTGAACTGTTCAAACTGTACCTGAACTGAAATATTTTTCTATAACATACATCATTCTCTTAAGAGGATTGGTTTGGAAATGTAGAGTTAGGAATCATGAAGTTTTGAGTCATCTTTCTAGACTTTTTTTCTTTGGAGCACCTAAATGCCTTATTCCAGTGAAGGAACAATACATTATGAAAGACATCCAAAGGATAGCCATTTCTCTCCTATTTCTCCCTAATATCCTTTATGTCTACCTAAACATCCACCAGTTCAATTACTTATTTGTTGTGTGACATCAGCCAAAACTATCATCAATACCATGGGGATTTTATCTATGAAAAGGATGGCAAATGACATTCCCTTCTCACAAGATTTCCCTGAGAGCCAAACATGGTGGCGCAAGTCTGTAATCCCAGCACTTGGGAGGCTGAGGCAGGAGAACCGTTGCAAGCTTGAGACCAGCCAGGATTACAAAGTGAGCTCAAGACCAGCCTGAACTGCATAGTGAGACCCTGTCTCAAAAACAAACAAAAAAGGATTTCCCTAAAGATAAATGAAAAAATATGTAAGGAATTGCTGGAACTTCAGTGTGCTGTATATCTAAGCATTATTGTTTCTATGACAAGTAACAGCTCTGTCCTAGGTCCAAATTAGAAAAATTGATACTTCATTCAGAATTTTACTAGCTGTACAACTAAGCTGATTAACGGGAAAATGTGATAGTTTTTTTTTTTTTTTTTCCCTCTCTCTGTGTACACACTATTAAGGCTCACTAACAAACTGATGAATAATAGTATCAGTGACTGCAGATGACAAATGCCCTGCTGACGCCTAGGTATCAACTTACATCCTGTGTTCTGGCCAGTAAAGAGCAATGCCAATAGGCTGAGGAAGGATCTTGTAATACTTATGGTACTGACTAGTCTCAAACACAAAACTGCCAAGAGTGCATTAGATACTCATGCCATGGTCATCAGAATACAAACACAAACATAAAAGCTACCCTATGCAATCAAGTCATCTCAGTCACATCTGCTCATTTTGCACAAGACAGTGACTGAGCTATAATATGCTGCCATCTAGGAGACAGTATTATAAAACTTTTCTGACAACAGACAAGGAAAGTTTTCCATTCTGTTGCTAGAGCTAACCAGTAACTTTGCTTATCAAATTTAGTGTTCCTATTACTTTCCTAAGGTTTGGTGCTAATAGACATAAAGATCCAGTTTCTTTAGAAATGCAGTATCACCCAGGCTCCTAACGCAATGTTCCTTTATGAGTTATCTATGTGTATATGTTCCCATCAAAGGACCAAACTTGTGAAAATGTAACTCTGAGCATCAAGTATGCTTGACTGAAAATAAACATTTTCACCTTGTTAATTTTTCTACTGATTAAAAAATGTTCCATAAACTAGAATATGAAGTGAAATTATAAAGCTCATGTTTTTTCAGTTTCAGGTGGTAAGAAAAAATTATGGCTGAATGGGAAGGCAGAACTGTTCCAAATGCACAAATCTTAGCTAATACTAAAAGAAACACTAACTTTTGTCCAATATAATACAATATTTTATTACAGTAAAATATTCAGATGAGTTTCATAGCTATATATTACTATATAAGTAGCCACTAAGGAAGACAAATTGGATAAACTACATTTAACAATACTGTATTATATATCCAATTACTCCAAGTAATTTGGGGGAAAAGAACATGTCAAAATATCTTTTTAGTAATTCCATATATTCTCCAGAGACTTTATAGACGATATAGAATCAAGGTACAACTATAGGTTATTGTAATTCTCATTTTAACGTTAGAACCTGCAACACGTAAAAATTCCAGTTAAGTATTAGGCATCTGTCAAATGAAAGTCTGATATCTGTCATATAAGGGTTTTAATCTTAGGAGAAAACAGATGATTTATACTGACATGAGTCCTTCTGCTTGGTGTTATGCCTTAGCTCAGATATCCTGGTTAAACTAATTTCTTTATTCATCTGGTTAGCCTTTGAGTTATCACTTCTCGATACATAATAGAGATATAGATAAGCAACAAAAAGATGACAAAGAAATCATCTAAAAAGCCTAAAATTCCAAACAAAGCTTCAGGTACAAAATCTAGAGGTGATATAAGATAGAAAAAAGCTCCCATTAAACAAAGTATTATCCTAATGCGAAACATCCAGAAAAGACCCCCAACTGAAAACATTTCCCTGAAAGCATGTCTCAGTAAAGTGGGTAGATCCATGATTCTTTCCATAATCTGGTAGAGGGAAAAACAAATATATTATGATTTAGCATCTAATATGTCAGATTAAAAGTAAATCTCTTTACAATGTTCAAACTCAAGATAAATGAGAGATTCATGGATTGATTGAACATCACTCTCATTATGCATTTTATTTAAAAATAGTTCTTACTGCAGGTCATTTAGGAAAAAAAAAGTGTCAACAAACTTAAAATATGCGATATACGTGTCAAGTATCCTGTATCTATTTTTTTTTTTTTTTTTTGTGGCCAGCTCAGCCTACCCCGGGGGGTGTAGCTGGCATGGCATGTGGTACCGGGAATTGAACTCTGGTCCTGTGATTGCTTAAGCAGGCGCTTTCGACTACTGAGCTATCTCACTGGCCCCATGTATCCTGTATCTAAAATCACCAAATTGGAAATGCTGCAAAATCTAAAATGCTCTGAAATAAGAAAAATTCCAAAATCTTTGAAACTCTTTTGAGAGCATCACTCAAAAATACCTTTCAGCATTTCAAATTTTTATTTCCTAATTAGGGAGCCTCAACTGGTTAAAATCTACACAAATATTCCCAAACCCAACATATTCTGAAATCTGAAATTTCTGGTCTCATGCATTTCAGATAAGGGATACTCAACCTACAGTCAGGTAAAACTGAAGGTATCTCTAATTTGAATTAGTAAAACCAACCAAACCAAGAACTTAGTGTACAGAATTAGAAACTGAGGCCTGAGCTGCAGTATCAGCTTTCTAATGAGATGGAACTGAGTCTGAATTCCAAGTTAATCACTTTTAGGCAAGTGATTTGGAGAAAGTTGTATAAGAGTTCAACAACTAATGGAACATTTAGTAATTGAGCACTGAGTAATCCACAAGGATTACTAAAAGAAAAAAATATATATATATTTGGAAGACTTTTGTAAACTACCAAGAAATACATACCATACAATAAAGACACACAAACTTTGAGAAGTATTTAAGAATCACAGTGAATGGGGGCCTGGCCCTAGCTCAGTTCTTTAGGTGGCTGCTTCAATCAAGCAGTCAGGCTCAGGATGCTGCAGTTTGATCCCCACAACTCAAGCCAGCCAAACCTGCCCTGAAGGCATTCAGAGCAAAAAAAAAAAAGAATCACAGTGAAACATTCCTCACAGTGAATCACTTCTAGTTATTCTTCTGCCTGGAGTTCAGCTACTTTTAATAATCAGCATAGCATCCTAAATCTAACTTTGGGTAGACATTTTATTTATTAAGTGCCAAGAAGGTCAAAAAGGAGACAAAAATTCAAAAAACTGAGTAAGGAGAAAATAGTTTTTAAAACTCCCTTAAAGAAAATATTCTAACTCCTTTTGAAAAAGTGGTCACAAGAGAACAACAATTTTTAGAATAATGTTTTATGTTAATTTTTCTATTCTCTATGGAAGGAATTATTTTTTAAAACAAAATGGCTACATAGCTTTCATAAAGCCTATGGTAATCTATTTTAAATATGAAAATCTAGTGTATCTTCTGAATAGCATTCTGTCCTTTCTCAGAGCTATTTCAGATATCACTTACACAAAAATCTGTATAATTAGGCAAGAAATAAGTTGTGAAGAAACGTTTGTGTATTATATATTCTTTTCCTTCAACTATGGAAGAATATCAAAGAGCTAAGTGGCCTTTATATATTGTAATTTCATATACCATAAAAATATTGCTTGATCAAAAATAGCAAAAGAAGTTTCTAAGTAATTACAGGTTAATTACTATTAACTGGATTTAGGTTTCCTTATTGCTTAAACACCTGGAAAATGATACATGACATCATAAAACAAAGAATTAGGGAGCCGGGGAGATGGCTCAGTGAAATAAGTGCTTCCGTGGCAAGCACAAGGGCCTGAGTTCAATCCCCAGTTCCACCAAAAAAAAAAAAAGAAAGAAAGAAAATAAAACAAAGAATTAGTGGGGATCTGCCAGTTAGCTCAATTGTTTAAGCACCTGCTTATGCAAATGCAGTCAGGTGCAGGACATGGTGGTTTGATCCCCAGCTCCACATGCCTTACCAGACCCACTGTTAAGGCAGCCTGAGCCAGCCAAAAGAAAAAAAAAAAATTCTTAACAAAGAATTAGGAAGCAGAAAAGCACACATTTATTTAATACAACAGCATTTTGATAGCTTAATAGTTTTGGCTGGGAGCCATAGTGTCAGTTCTCATCTTTTGTATAATGCATTAATTTATTCAATAAACATTGAAGTCTATACCCAAGCCATTAAATAAGACACTGAGGATATAGCAGTAAATAAATAAAACACAAATCCTTTCCCTCATAAAATTTGTAGTCTATTTACAGGAAGGTAACACGGAAGACTGGCTTACTGCCTGTGATAAAATGCTATGAAGGAAATTTATAGGGGGCAATGTTAGTCAGGGAACACCTCCGAGGAGAGTCGAAAGCCAGAGCTCATCTAAGGGATGAGAAGTAGGAAATAAGCAAAGCAGACAAAGTCAAAAAATGTTTCATGTGAAGTTCTGAAAGTGGGAAGAATTTATGAGTATGCTTTGAGGGATGAAATGTGGTCATCGAGGAAAAGTACAAAGGGCAAAGGACTAGACCAGGTAGGGCCCTGTGAATGACAGGAAGGAGTAAGAACCAAAACTGGAAGTTGTTTATATTTGAAAGTCTTGCTCTGTAGAGCAAGTTGGCTTTGAAGTTGCAGCACTCTTCCCAGCTCAGCTTCCTGAGTTCTGGAATTACAGGCATGCAACATATACCCAGCAAAAAATTGGAAGTTTTAAAACACGACAGCAATGTGGTCTGAAAACACTATGTGGGTTGTTGGGTAGAAAAAATGTGTGTGTGTGTGTGAGAGAGAGAGAGAGAAAGAGGCAGGCAGGCAGGCAGGCAGGCAGGCAGAGAGAGAGAGAGAGAGAGAGAGTGTGTTTATCTAGAACAGGAGGTAATGATGGCTTAGGCTAGAACAACAGCTCTGTTGACTGAGAAATGTAGACTGTTAGGATATTTTTGTGAAGCAAAAATAACAGGCATCCCCCCCAAAAAGAAACAATTTATAAAATAATGAGTCAAGGGAGAAATCAGTTCAACAGTCCACACGTTATATTGGAGGTGCCTAGCCAGCAAAAATGTCAGCCAAGCCTCACACTTAAGAGTCTGGGGCCTACAAGAGAGGTTGTGGCTCTCCAAGTAAGTGTGCACTTAGTATAGTTTCAGTTCTGGAAGTACACATTCTGATATATTCACACAGTTAGAATTATTTGTTAGAGTATATGAAAACTAGATGAGTCAAACAGTAAGAGAAAAAAACCACAAAAAATTATAAAACCTTCTCCATAAGTTTTCTCACAAGTTAAATGATTTACAATCATCTAAAAGTCAATAATTTTCTATTTTACTCCAATGTGGTTTTCTTTTGCTAGTTCTCTTTCATAAACACATTTATAATGCTTTTTGTTTTTTAAGAAGGAAAACTGTTACTTTGCCCCCCACACATAATGAGATTTTTCAGAGTCAAAGGATATTTGTTCATAAATCTTACTTTATAAAATGAAATATAATAGCTCCCTACAACTTTGCATTGTTGTAACAATACTCACAGATCTGGGCTGCCCTGAGAATCTTCGGTTATAATCATTAACATCTTGATACAATCTTACAACATCCTGAGATTGATCGGTGTCAACAAATACTGTTAGGAGTAAAGTTACCTATAATTATAGGAAAAAAAATTTAAATATTCTGAATTATTAAATTTTCAATTTATGTTTATAATAAAATTAGAAAAGCCACGTTTTTCTGGGGGGTATCAGAAATTAAACTCAGGACCTTGTACTTGACAGGCAGGCACTGTGCCATTGAGCTATATCCCTAGCCAGAGAAAAGTTTTTAAATTCATATTTTGCTCATTTCTTTTAATAATGGGAACATAGGGGAGACAAGTTATTGTCTTATAGTAAAATCCAACAAGCTGGGTGTAGTGGAGCATGTCTATAATCCTAGCACTTGGGAGCCTGAGGCAGGAGGACCACCAGCTCAAGGCCAGCCTGGGATACACAGTGAACTCAAGGCTAGTCTGAACTAGACAGTGGGAATCTGTCTCAAAAAACAAAACAAAAAAAGTTCATTCTAAGGTGAATCTGACCCCCAGCACCACACACACACATGCACGCGCGCACACAGAGTAAAATATATTTGAACTACAAGATAAAATGGGCATCATATTCAAACACTACTATAGTTTTCTCCCACACAGGAATAAATTTAATAGTTCTGTTTAGGCAAATTTATCTTTGAAGATCTAAGAATGGTAAGAATGGGACGAGGGAGATAGCTTGATGGTCTAAGCACCTGCCTGCCAAGGACCCGAATTTGATCCTCGGTACCAATGCTGTGCTGGCCACAGAACCCCAGGCATGGTAGCGTACACCTGTAATCCCAGCACAAAGGTAGGCTGAGACAGGAGGATCACTAGGAGTCTGAACTACATAGCAAGATGCTGTATCAAATAATCAAATAAATAAAAAATCTAAGAATAGTACGCAAACATTCACAGTAACTATCACTCTGACAGTGAAAAGTAGGTCTTCCTGCTTTGTCATTAAAACAACCATTCCTTGCTGGATGTGGGGGCACATGCCTGTAATCCCACCTAGTGGGAGGCTATGGCAGGAGGATCTAAGTTCAAGGCCAATTGGAGTAACTTAGTGAGATCGTGTGCTCCAAAGTAAAAATAAAAAGTGCTGGAGATGTAGCTCAGCACTCCCCAGGTTTAACTACCAGTATTAAAAAAAGAAAATAAGATTTTTTCTTTCCAGTATTTAACACATTTTTGAATTCTACCATAATATGGATAATATGGAAATGAAGTTATTACAAGGAACAACTCTCAAACACTGAAACCTACTAAATAATAATTGTACTGTAAAATTCCTTGGAGTACCTCTTGCAATTTTAGAGGCCAAAAGTAACTTGTATTAATTTCATGATGTTCCACTAAAATATTAAAATATTTATACAAGTTTTTCTTTTCCTGATGTATACATTTTTTGCATGGACTCTTTATATTTGTATGTACAAGACAATACATAATATGTATACATATATGATACATATAATACATATGTATACACATATGTGAGCTTATGCAAAGATAAAAATCAGACGATCCCCCCAAATCTTAAGAGATGAAAGCTGAGACAACACAATGATTTACAAAATCAAGGAAATGCCTAGTATACGAGTTAGATACGAGCTAGCTATAGGTGACAAAGGAGAGGGAGAGATTTGGAGGGAGCCCTGCAGGGTTTCTGCACAGGCAGGCAGTTTGTATTCTACACCTGGTGATAATTACCTGTTTCTTATTAATACAGTGAGCTGTGCTTTGTGAACTTTAATAGCCATACAGAAAATCAAACAAAACAAAGAATATTTAAGAAGTTATTGCCTTTTACCATTTTACTTTACTTTTTTTTCCTCTATAGGTTTAGGCCTTTACAAAATGTTTTAGGGGCTGGGGAGATAGCTCAGGAGAATAAGCAGTTGCCTGGCAAGCGCAAGGGCCTGAGTTCAATCCCCGGTTCCAGAAAATAAATAAATAAATAAATAAAGTTTATGAAAGTTTCTAGAGGGAACAAAAAGAAGTGTATGTATGTAATCAGACATTTTTACTTTCATCTTACATGCTGGAAAACTTTCAAAGTAAACATCTTTTTACACGATCATAAATTATTATCAGAAAGGTTTATATTTTTGTTTAAAATAAACTATTAAAAACACCTATATAAATGACAAAATGAAATATTCTGCTATATTAAAAAATAAGAGCTTTACTTTTTTCAGAATTGTTCAGTTCAGTATTTTGTTCTTCCAGTTTGTCAGAGAACTGGAGAGAAATTAGCAAATTTCATCTTTGTTAATATTAGTCTTCAAGTTCACACTTACAAAAACTTAGGCCTTATTAACATCTAACATGTTTAAGATAATTCAGTGTGTCTATGTCTCTAAAAAATGAAACATTAAAAGAATTATTCTACATCACTTAAAGATATCTGGACCCTCACTAAGAAAAGGCCAGGGTTGGAGATGCAGCTAGCTTGTTGGTATAACGCTCACCCAGCATGCCTGAAGCCCCCAATACCCTTCCTCTCAAAAGCAAACAAAACGCAAATTAAATGTAAATAAGAATGGGAAACCACCCCACCCCCCAGATAGAAGAATAAGTGTGATTAGCTAGTTCAGTTATTCCTTTGCTGGCACTGCAACAAAACTTACAATTTGGCAGCATTCATCAGTTTATTTAGTACAATGGTAGGATTTCAAACAGAACGTATTTTTTCTGTGTTAAAGATATATTTGTTTTTTAAGTAATTGAGTAAAATCACAGAAACTTTAAATGAATGAATTTCTGCTAAAAAAATTAAAATAATTCAAAATTTAAATACAAAAACTAAAGTCTACAAATGATAGACAAAGGGGTGTGGCTCAGTAGAAAAGCCTGTGGTACCCGAAGGTCACATGAACTCAAAAACCCAGCCAAAACAAACAAACCAACTCCACAAAACCTCAGTCAACCAAATAAACAAAATAAAGTAGCATAAATGATACTCTCCAGATATAAAAACAATTACCGTTTGTCTACAGATTGGACAACTGATTGCACCAAGCCAGGTACCATATCGCCAGTACGCAATAATGCAGGCACCTAATGGAAAAAAGCGTTAATACTTTAAATGTTTTAAAGTCCACAACATCTTAAGAAACTTTAAAATATTTAACATTATTTAAACATAGTTTTTGCTGGCCAGACACAGTAGCACATGCCTGTAATCTCAGCACTCTGGAAGATCACTGTGAGTTTGAAGCCAGCCTGAGTTAGTCAGGGCCAGTCTGAGCTATATCCTGTCTCAAGAAAAAAAAAAAAAAAAAAAAAAAAAAGGAAGAGAAGAGAAGACAAGAAGAAAAAGTTTTTGCTCCATCCAACCAACCCACTCTTCAGGCAAATTCAAATCTAGTAACATAACTATTTTCAGCCATTAAAAATATTTTTATTTAAATTATGAAATAGTATATATTTTACACAGTCAAAAGCAAGTAACTGCCTCAATGCAGTGAAAATATATTTCCTGTGAAAATTAAATGAAATGGGAAATATCATGGTAAGCAGGGCAACCAACAAATCAGCATAAATTTTCTATTTCAAATTTGGCATGTATGGTATAAAAACAAAAGTTTTTAAGAACTTAGAAATTCAAGTTACATGTACTGACATATTAACTAGCTATAGGTAGAAAAACAAGGAACCAATACATTCAAAGATTTTATGTTCTCTTGTCCTAATAAAGTTTATGGTGCAGTTCAATAACTGAATCAACTCTTATTAATATAGGAATGTAATTTTTTTGTGTAAAAGGTATTCATGAGCAGCAAAACAGCTGAAGGCATCTAAATAAATGAAAGAGTTCAGATGACCTCAGAGTGGTACGGAACTAAGTGGATAGGCAATAACATTCAAGGAGCTAGGTGTGGTGGTGCACATCTGTAGTCCCAGCACTCAGGAAGCAGAGGCAAGAGGATTATCACCAGTTTGAGGCCAGTCTGGGCTACATAATGAGTTTGAGGCCAGCATGAACTGCCTCAAAAAGAAAAAAAATTAAAAATAAAATGATTAAAACTGGGGCTGGGGAGATGGCTAAGTAGGATAAGTGCTTCCCTGGCAAGTGCAAGGGCCTGAGTTCAATCCCTGGTTCTGGAAAAAAAAAAAAAAAAAAAAAAGAAAAGAAAAGAAAAAAGAAAAAGATCCGCTTAAGGGGCCCACTCACTTTTCTCTGCAGAACATCTGCATCTTTAACTGGCCAGGTTCCACAGGCAAACCTGAACAGAATGCTAAGTAAGTGCTAAACCAAGTCCCCCCTCTACACATATGTTCTTACTCCTATCTTAGAGACCTAACTTCGCTCTCCTGTATTCCTTATTCTTGGATGTCAGAATTCAGAACAAGCACAAGCGCGGCAACCCACCGAGGAGGCCAAGGGGACACACTGAAATCAGTTAACAGATAGACAGATCTTCAACTATACAATGTTAAGTAAGAAGGAAGATAGAGGCAGGGGGCACATATAAGCTCGGCACTCTGGGAAGTTGAGGCATGAGGACAATGAATTCATCAATTTAAAGATGAATTTAAGGGCTGGGAAGACAACTTAGTGGCTTAAGCGCCTGCCTGAAAAGCGCAAGGTCCTGAGCTCAATCTCTGGCACCAAAAAAAAAAAAAAAAAGGAAATGAAAAAAAAGATGAATTTAAAAACCAAACAATTTTTTTGTGATATCTTTACTCTCAGAGAGTGTTATATTAATCAATGTTTACTTATAGACAGGGTCTTGCTATGTAGTCCATGTTGACCTCAGACTTTCAGTCCTCCTGCTTCAGTCTCCTAAGTGTTGGGATTACAGGTAAGCAATATTTATTAGGTACTTTGAGAAATCTAATTTGAAATAGGAACTATAAGACAACAAACTTACTAATTTGTCAGTTTTATTACTATCTGTAATGATGTCTTAGCTTTATTGCCTTTTTGCATTATTACTATCTGTCATGATATTAGCATTACTATCTTTTCGCTCAATGAATTTTGACATATAATAAGGGTTCTAGTTTTGCAAATTATGGAACAGCCACTTGCCTGCCCTGATAATCTATGCCCCAGCCAATCAAATACTCAGCTCATTCAAATCTGCTATTAAATTCTTGATTCTTCCTCAACTTTTTCACCCTGTAAAAAAGATAGTCAAGGTGGGTATGCTGGTGCACATCTATAATCACAGCACTCTGGGAGGCTGGAGGAGCCCTGCCTGAATAATTCCGTGATTTTCTGAGATACCTCAGCCTTTTCAAAAAACAAACAAGCAAACAAGCAAACTGTAAGTCTCCAACTGGACCTAGCTCTCCCAGTCCCAGCCTGCTTGCCAGAAGAAGCACTACTGTCTGTAGGGAACTCGGCTCAGTACTGAATTGTCATCCACAAGCTCAGCAAAGGAGAAAAAGTAGGACAAGGAATTTTGCAGGTCTTGGAGACACAATTTACACTGGACACTAAAAAGGACTCTGGAGTGCCTGCGGCCTCTTCACCTCTGGGAGCACTGGTCTCTCGCGGTGGCTGGGTTTTTCCTCAGGAAGGAAGGACATTACAATGTGCCACGTGCTTAAAGAAACCCACGCACTGATGACTACGAGTGGACACTGGAGTGCAGCAGTGCCTAAGCACACGTTACCCACCTCGGACCTGATGCTGCAGAACTAAGTAAGTGGTGAGTGCTGTGGAAGAAGGGACAGTGACGTGATAAAGTGAGTTATAGGGTTACTTTAGATAAGGTAGTCCAGGATGGACCTTGTCAGATGATAATGCTAAGGCTTCAATGTTGACATGATTGTGTTGTATGAGGATATGGAGGTAGAGAAGGGTATGGAGACTATACAGGTGCTCAAATGACAATGAGAGGGAAGTCCCTGTTTCCTAGAGGTTTCTCAGTGGATACAATACACATTAACTATATGTAGTCTGAACAATGTCCTTTAAAATTCAGATAGTGAAATCCTATGCCCCCATACCTCAGAATATGACTGTATTTGGTTGAAGATAGAGCCTTTAAGGATGCAATTAAGTTAAAGTGAGGCCTGTAGGGTGGACACTAAGCTAGTATGTCTGGTGTCCTTTTTGTTTTTTTCTTTCTTTCTGGGAATCAAAACCAGGACCCCATCTATGCTAGACAAGTGCTTTACTCCAGACTGCCTGTCTAATCCCAGGGCCATATAGGAAGAAACATTTTGAATAAGCAGGCACAAGAGGTGTGTATGTAAAGGAAAGGCTATCAGCAAGCCAAGGAGGGAGGCCTTAGCAGAAGTTAAACTTACCAACACCCTGCTCTTAACTGTGAAAAAATAAATATAAGCCATGCAGTCTGTAGGTTTTTTTTTTTTTTTTTGAGGTGGCCCTAGTAAACTAACATACTAGCTACTTAGATTTAGATTGTGTTTGTGATGAGGGTCCTGTAAGAAAAGTGTGAGGTTCATGAGATGATACAGCTAGCATACCTAAACCATCATGTCTGGAAAAGAGGTGTTTCTTGAGTGCGACATTTAACGGGAGACCTGCAGGGAGAGGAGTGAGGCTGGGCAAAGACCTGGTCATTGCCCCTGTTGTACTGCCTTTTCCACCATCCATCTGTTTTGCAATCTAGGGCTCTGCCCGTTACAGAATAATGCCTCAGCCCCACACAGCTGCTATTCTACTTTCTGGTTCTATAAATTTGACCTTATTCAGTGTTTTGTGAGAAATGCTCTGGAAGCAAAGGTGAAGAAGCGACAGCCTGCCACCTGCACCCAGGAAATGAGGTGACTCTTGAAGATGAGCATGCGTCTTTCTAGCTCAAAAAAGGAAAACAGTGCTCTTGGAAGAAACAAGATACACCCAGCTAAGGACGGTAAAAGTTCCATATTTTACCAAAGTGTAGATCCTCAGTTTTACCAATCTATTTGCTTACAGAATTTTTAATTGTTTCCTGAAATGTTGACAGTATCATGTCACTCCCTTCATCCAAAGTTTATAAAATCTTGGAACTATGAATAACTACTATGAAGACAACAGTATGCAATATATCAATTATTGTAGCTGTCCTACTAACCTGTCAGTCCACAAAAATAAAAACTACAATTTAAGGAAAAACAACAATAACAACAAAATTTACAAAAGCTGTTTGAGGGGTAAGGGCCAAAGTCTTTAACCTACCACTTAAAATTTTATTTTTATTTGACAGTGGAAATACTTAAAATGAATCTGTGAAGTTTTTTTCACCTCTCAAAATATAATAAATGAAAAGTGATTTGAAAGTAATAGTGTAGCAGAGTGTAGTGGTGCACATCTGTAGTCCTAGCACGTGGGAGGCTGAGGCTGGAGAATTGCTGTGACTTCAAAGTCAGTCTGGGATACGTAGTACATTCAAGTCCTGTTTGAGTTATGTGGCAAGATCCTGTCTCAAAAAGCCAAATAACAATAATAACACCACCAACAACAATAACAATAATAATTTTAACTTTGAATTACAACTCCCTCACAGGGACGATAATGCCTTTATCTTTGTGCTACTGAATTACAGAACACAGGATAGGTGACGTATTCAATAACATTTAACCTGCTGTAGCTACATAGCCAAGGAAACAACGAAGGAAGAAATATTTTGAATAGGTCTTCCCACAGTTAGTCAGTCTGTGATAGAATTCATTGAAAGTGTGAAAGCTTCCTTTCCATTCCTGTCAACTGCTGGATCCACGAAGAAAGAAAAAGTTCCTGACTTGTTTCTCTCCTGCAGCAGCACAGTACAGCAGGCACTAGTCAAATGTAGCTGCTGAGCACTTGAAATGTGACTTGTACATCTCAGCAACTGGTATTTAATGTTACCTAATTTAAATTTTAAAGTAACTACAAAATATTTTCTGTATACGTAGCTTTGTTGTTTTAGAAATACCACATTTTACTTTTTACCTTTACAAATTTAGCATCTGAGTTGAAATGTAGTTGACGTATAAAATATATACTATATTTCTGATTATATGTTGAGATAATAGCTTGGATGTTATCTTTGAAATAAAATATTAAAATGAAAAAAAATAATAAAAAGGACTCTGCCCACTGAGATATAGGACTGCCAGAAAACTTTCACCACAGATATTCATTGGGATCTTCCTGCCTAATGCCCTTTGTGTTCCCTTCATCCCAATAAAAGGGACAAACTTCTCTTTGTTCAGGGCAGATGGTCTAATTCTGCTCTTTGCCTGAACCCAGGAACAATAAATTCCTTGCCATGTTGCCTTTACACAAGCCTGGTGGTCTATGCCAGTTACATATGTTACACCAACCAACCAACCAACCAACCAACCAACCAACCAACCGACCGACCGACCGACCGACCGACCATCCAACCAAGTAGGATGATGGGTGTTATGGTTTGTGTCTGGATGTCCCCCCAAAGAATCATGTAATCATGGGGTGTGGGATTTTCAGGTACAGCTGAATTTAGAGCTTGTGACTGATTCAGGATCCAATGCTGGGATTAAGAACTATACTTGCCCTAGTGCAGGTAGCCTCTGCATACAATATAAGGGATGGAAAGAGGCTTGTTCTACTCTTCTGTTTTTGATGTCTCTCACCATCATGAACTGTTGCCCTCTGCCATGTGCCACCCTGCCTTGAAGCCAAACAATTATGGTCTGAAACCTCTACATACTGTTAGCTAAATAAGCCTTTCTTCCTTTAACTTTGGGTGGTAGGTATTTTGTTTCAACAAGAGAGAAGCACTTGCCTGGCAAGCACAAGGGCCTGAGTTCAATCCCCGGTTCCACCAAAAAAAAAGGGAAGAAAAACAAAACAAAAATACAAATCAACAAGAGAGAAAAATAATTAAGGCAATGGGAGAGACAACACAATAGCTTTCATCAGGGTTACACGTTTATTTGTGAGATGAGAATAAGATCTAAAAGTTCTAAGCTGAAGTCATAGAAGAGATATAAATGGAGGAAAGTAATTTATAGGATCAATGTGTGCTATATTTTAAATTAGTCTTTATATGGATATTTGGTACATTCTGGAAATAATTAGACCCTAACCCAGTTTGTCTGAGGTAGGGTAGAGGACTTCCAATGTCCTGTTCAACTTGTTAGCCACTTTTATTTAGTGACTTTTAGATTCAAAAGTTAAAGAATAACTAGTTATTCAGCTTTTCAATAAGAAGAAACATTACTAATTAAAAAAAGATCTAATGACAATAAATCTAAACAGAGATTAATTTTCAGAGTAATCACTGTTAAGTAACCAATCATACTGAAACTGAGCACAAGGCTTAAAAAGTGGCCTAGCTCTGTTGCTTAGTATGTAGAATAAGTCTGTTACACGTCCAGCACAAAAGCATCCCCCATCCCTATTCTTCAATGGCTGTACAAGCAATGGCAATACGATAATCAGTGTTGTCTAGGAAATCTTTTTGGAGAGGCAGAAAAATCAACAAAGATGTGCCCTGTACTATAACAGTAAGTTAGTGTGAAATCAATATTCTCTTCTTGTCCTGATACATGCTCTAGGTTTCTCATTTTTCCCTCTCCAACTTTCTTCACTTGACAAAGAAAGACAATCTAGGGTCTAGGAGATAGCTCATCAGCTTAAACCCCTGTCTGGTAAGTGCAAGGTCTCGAGTTTGATCCCCAATACAAAACAAAACAAAACAAAATAAACTCACTTAAGAACTTTTGCACTGACTCAAAGTAAAGAGAGGTAGTAGAGCTAAGGGAACGTTTTAGGCATGATTCTTCAGAGAACAGCCTTCCTAAATGAAACTATCAAGAAGGGAAGAGCAAGGAGGGATTCAATGACTCTCTAATACCAATGATGCACTTGAACTACCATGCAAAGAAACACATTCCTGTTGACTGAGAATCTGAATAGGTTTTTTTTAACTTTTGAACTCACAAATGCTAAATAATACACTGAGTAAAAAGGAAGTATACATGTAAATAGTATACTACTTAGATGCTAAATATGCTTGGCCCACAAGTAGAGCAGTATATAAGAACCAATCTACCCTAAAACCAATGTACATATTGAGGCCTTGATTACACTTTCAAAAGCATAGCATAGTGTGCTTACCACAAAAAAGGTGTCCACAGTTTGTTTCAACAGGGAAGGAGGCTTGATGTAAGCAGATTGGACAGTACATGTCAGTGTAGAACTGCTGTCGAGCAGCAGCAGGTGCATCCTGAGAAGCAGATATGGATCCATGTTTAGACCTTACACACAGGGCTTTCAACATTGTCTTCATGTTACAGTACATTTACAAATATTTCTGTTTAATCCTCATCACATTTTGGAGATGCAGCAGTTTAAGATCTTTGGAGATGCAGCAGTTTGTAACATTGATAACAACAGCACTAGAACAGACTACTATTAATATGCTTAAACTATTCTTGTGTTAATGAGTTCCACGAGAGTAGGAATGTTTTAGTTCACAACTGAATTATCAACACCTTGAACAATGTTCAGCATGTAGTAGAAGTTCAAAAAATATACATAGTGAATGGATAAATTATAAAACTTTATTGGAAATAAAATTTGAAATTTTCTTTGTGTTTCTGAGATAGGGTCTTATTGTGTAGCTTACAGTCTTGCACTCACGGCAATGCTCCTGCCTTAGCCTTCCTAAGAGGCTAGGATTACAGGCATGTACCACCACACCCAGCAGACTGATTTTAGAATGCTTTTTATTTTTTTGTCACCAAAACTAGGGATTGAATTTATGGGCACTCTATCACTAAGATTTATCTCTGTAAGTTTTTAAACTTTTTGTTTTGAGGCAGGGTCTGATTAAGTTGCTGATTTGCCCAGGCTGATAAACTCCAGCCTTTCAAGAATAATATGCTACTTAGTCTAGCCTGCATATCTTTCTGGCTCTTTAGAGCTTCTATATGGTTGAAAGTAGAGGCAGAAGAAAAAAAATTCTGCTTTGCCTAACTAGTATTGTAAGCTATGAACATTGAGGAAACTAGGGGAAGGGTTTAAAAACAAAAGTTGTCCTTTCCCGTCTTTGCTTTGAAAGTCTAAGTGTATGTGTTTTTAAAAATTAAGTTTTTCCACATTTTGGATAAAGTCAATTATACTAATTATTTCTATGTAAATAGGTGGTAGGAAAACCGTTCTCATTTTAAAGCAACTTAATAAAAACATACAAACAGTTGAATACATTAAGATTTGGCAATTTGCTTAATCTGAAAATACACAAATCTGAACAGTTTAAAGCACAAAAGAAACACTGCGAGGTTTTTGTTTTTTTTTTGGTACTGGGAATCAAACTCAGCACCTGGCGCTTGCCAGACAGGCGCTTATGCTGTTGAGCTTTCTCCCCGGCCCGAAACATTTTTTAAAAAATAATTTATTAATGTTTCATTACAACTACAAAATGTACACGTCACATGACAGTACCTGTTCTGTTTGAAGTTGTTCTCGAAGCACCCTTACTAGCTCTTGGTTTTCTGGATGAATGTTCTGATGTACATTTCTGTTAAGTAAAATATAATAAATGTTTAATATAAGATATTGTCAGATTAATCTGCTTATTTTCTAGGGCTAATTTCATTTTACTAATATGTAAGTAAATGTAACTGATGACACTCAGGTGCACTATCAAGTCCAGGACTGCACAATGTACGATATTCTGTGGTGAGTTCTTCCCAGATTACTGATCACTGGCTAGTTTCAGATTTAATTGCCAAATGAGACAAGATCCAGGAGCCTCTTATTTTGCAGATTTACTATAGTCACCAAATACTAAAAACAATGAACACATTTGTTTTGTGACATTTCTTCAAAATAAGTAGCTCTATCTTTCTATATAGTATTTAAACACTTCCCAGAAGGATTAGTTTTTCTGTAACTTTTCTGTTTGAGAAGAGGTGAACAAAGCAGAAACTGAAATTATGTATGCAGAAAAGTCAAAACTTAACATACCACTAGTACCTTAACATTAACTTGAAAATGGACACTCAAAGCTAAGACGCTGGTGGTTAATATAAAAGGATGAATTAAGACAGCAGTAAAATTCAAGTAGAGGTCAAGATGGAAGGTGGGGGTGAAGCTTTACATCTGAGTCACAGTTCAATCTCCTGTGATTACAGACTTTTCCCTTAAATTTAAATATATTGAAAAATACTCAAGGAAGCCTTTAGATTCTGGGTAGGCCATATGGGACAGAAATAACTCTAAAATCCTAATAGGATAGAGAAAATTAAAGAAATGCATCCTACAAATAATTGAGTTTTTGAGAGAAATTCAAATTTTACAAAGAAAGCTAGAAAATATAAGCATCATTTCAGTAAGAATAGGAAACCAACTTAAAGTCAGGTATCTAAGTAGAAGTTCAATATAAGTATAATAAAATTTTTGAACAGTTTAAACTTGAATTTCAGTGAATTCTCAATTTCAAAAGTTACATTCTTATCACTGAATTAACAATCTATGAATCTTATCTATATAATGAAAGCAATCAATCAAATTAACTAGCCCAAATGAAGTCTCAGCTAGATAAAATTCCCTGTTCTTTGAGAACAGAAAATCATTTCCTTTTCATTGGAAGAAAAAAAATAAATAAAAACAAACACTTTCCAAAGTGCAGACATGAACCATGTGCTTGGAAAATCTTTTCACTGGACTTCTTTCCATACAAAAAGGTGTAAGATTCTTTTGAGGTACACTACAGTTGGTAGTAAAGTCAAAATATAGCCAGTGAACAAGGATTGCCCAGACTGCTGAATACAATCAGTGAGGTAACTAAATGTGACCGACAGCAGTATGAGTACAGAACCAAAAATTTAGAAAACATTGCCAAAATTAACAGACTGAAGACCAAACTAGAAAATCTAGGACCAATTTAGTTATGAAAAAATGACAGATCCAGATCACTCTGTGTAGTATTTTCATCTTTCTTCTAGTCTATGGAAAGTGTTCATCATTGTGTGTGTGTGTGTGTATGTGTGTTTGTGCTTTCTCTCAGTAGTGTGTTGTAGTTGTAAAAATTTATATTCTATTTGTTTTATTAAAAAAATTGGCCTGGTGAGATGGCTCGGTGGTCTAAAGTGCCTACTTAGAACAAGCTTAACAAAGCACAGAGACCACGGTTCAATCCCCCAGCACCACATGCCAGCCAGCCCCGCCCTCTGGTGGGCTGAGCTGGCCACATACACACACACACACACATATACACACACACACACACACATAAATAAAAAAAAATTAAAAAAAAAGAAATATGAAGATCAACTGATTGTATGAGCATCAGGATGCACATCAAGGGTGTATCAATAAAATTAAAAAAAAAATTATTTCCCAGTGTGCCAGGCCAACCTCATCCCCGGGGCGCGTTGAGACAGTGACTGAGACTGGGCGTGGTGGTGTATGTGTCTGTAATCCCAGTGCTTGGGAGGCTGAAAACAGGAGAACCACTGCAAGTCCAATCTGTGTAGTGGGATCCTGTAGTCCCTGTACTAAAATATATTTTAAAAAAATTATTAGTACATGTTTGCAGCACATAATAATTACACCTATCCTGGGGAGCTGGTGCATGCACAAGACTATCTTAATTCTTTTTCTAATGCCTCTCCTTACTCTCCCTCCAACTCTTGGTTCCCTTCCATTTTTCAAAAAGATCCATCTCCCTGTTTTCTACTGTTTTTCTTTTACTTTGATCTTTATTTTTTGTTTTGGATTTCTTATATAAAACAAACTGCAATATTTAATCTTGTGTATTTCACTTCACATTTGGTATCGAGGTATATTCATTTTCCTACAAATGACTCAATTTTGTTCTTCTTTTAGCAATGTAGGACTATTCCACTGTGTACAGACAGTACCTTTCCTTTATCCATTCATGTTGATCGATCTATAGGCACTTGAAGATTTAGCTATCATGAATTGTGCTGTTATAGGAACATGGGTATGCATGTATCACGGTGATATGATGTCTTTTTTTTTTTTTTTTTTTTTTTTTTGCGGAACCAGGGATTGAACTCAGGCCCTTGAGTTTGCCTGGCAAGCGCTTATTCTACTGAGCCATCTCCCTGGCCCCCTATATGATGTCTTTTAATTTTTTCAGGAAGCTACCTAGGAAGGGGAAATAGCTGGGTTGAATAGAATTTCTAGTTTTCATTTTCTGAAGAATCTCCATGCTGATTTCTGTAATGGCTGTACTAGATCACATTCCCAACAACAATGTAGATGTATTCCTTTTTCCCTGCAGCCTCACAAGCATTAGTTATTACTTGATTTCTTGATTGCTATTTTTTCAGAAATAAGGAATCTGTTTTAATTAGCATTCTCTAATGACCAAAAAGTGTGAACATTTTTTGTATATTTATTGGACATTTATATTTCTTCTTCTGTGAAGTGTCTATTCATTTCAGTTGCCTATTTTATTTATTTATTTATTTATTTATTTATTTATTTATTTATTTTGTGTGTGAGTGTGTGTGTGTGTGGCCAGCTCAGACCACTAGTGTGCGGGGCTGGCTGGCATGTGGTGCTGGGGGATTGAACCGCGGTCGCTGTGCTTAGTTGCCTATTTTTTGATTGGATCTTTTATTTGGGGAGGGGGCTTAAGTTTTTTTATTAGTTCTTTATATATCACTGAAACTAGTCCTCTGTCTGAGGTGTAGCTGGCCGAAGTTTTTTTCCCATTGTGTAGGTTTTCTCTTCACTCCATTGGTTATTTCTTTTGCTGTGCAGAAGCTTTTTAATTTGATATAACCTCACTTGTTGATTCTTTTTTTTTTTTTTTTGTGCCTGGCTCAGCCCACCCTGGGGGTGGGGCTGGTGCTATATGTGGTACCTGGGATGGAACTGCAGTTCCTGTACTTGCCTAAGCAGGCTCTTCAGCCTACTGAGCTATCTTGCCTGCCCCACATGTTGATTCCTGAAGTTATCTTGTATGCAAGTGAGGTTCTGTTCAGATAGCCCTGTTCTTCCTTCTATCACTACTAGATAGAGGAATCACTACTAGCTATTATTTGTTGACATATCAGAAACCAGTCCAAAAGGTCTTCCAAATTTCTATAACTTAATCCCATCTATCTTTCTTCTCCTACTTTTTGATATGTCATTTCTTTTTGCATATTAAAGGTTACAGGCTCTCTTTCAGGGATTTTATGACTTAATCATTTGACAATTTTGTTTTTTTCCCTTTCAAAGACAAAGAAGGACTGTAAATCATTGGCATAGGGTGACAACAAATGTGTTAGAGTTCTATATTTGAGTTACTGCCTTTCTTGGCATCTTACTATGACCAACTTAGCTATGAGAAAAAGACAGGACATTTTAGAAAGTAGACCTTTTTTTTTTTTTTTTTTTTGCGGAACCAGGGATTGAACTCAGGCCCTTGCACTTGCCAGGGAAGCGCTTATTCTACTGAGCCATCTCCCTGGCCCCCAACAGGACATTTTAAATCAATGGACTAGAACACAGGAACTCAGAAATCAATTCTCACATATATGGTTGCTACTAAATGTTTGTGTGTCCCACAACCCCAATTCTATGTTGAACCTCTAATCCCAATGTGGCAAGATCTAGAGATGTGACCTTTCAAAGGCAATTAGACCATAAGGGTGGCACTGTAATGTTGGAATTAGCAGGCTTATAAGAGACATGGAGATCTAGGGATGCTGCTCAGTGGTAAAGTATATGCTTTATATGTACAAGGCCCAGGGCTGAGTCCTTAGCACCACCGCAAAAAGAAACATGGAAGATATGCCTTCCTGTCTGTGCACCTTTCTAGGTAAAGATATGACGAAAAAATAGCCACTTGTAAACTAGATAGTAGGCTCCTGTCAGACACTAGATCCACCAATACTTTATTATCTAGTTTGGATCATCTCCCATAAACCCATGTGTTGTTAGAGGTCCCTCCCTCATCATCCCATCCACTCCCACTGCCCACAGTGGACCTAGTAGGAGAAGAAAGGGCTTAGTAGGGTGTCTTTAGGTTCCTGGGTCATGATCTTAAAGGCGATTTTGGGGACTGAGTTTCATCCTCTTTCTTTGGCTTCCAAGAGATGAGTAAGCAGTCTTGCTCTGCCATCTATTCTTCCTCCCAGTGCCATACAGCAGGCACCAAAGCAAGAGGGCCAACTGATTACTTAATGATCATTTAATAGAGCTTCTGAAAATGAAAGCTAAAATAAACGTTTTCTTTTGGTAAGCTGATTATCTCAGGTACTCTTGTCATGATGACAGAAAGCTAAGCTAATCAGTCACACTGATTTGTGACTTTCCAGTCTCTGAAACTATGAGAAATAAATGTTGCTCAAACTACCCATTTTGTTATAAATGCCCAAACTAGCTGAGACAATTATCAACAGAGTTTTGATAAGGGTATCAACATATTCAATGGGAGTACTGTACTTCAACAAATAGCTAATGAGTATATGAAATGGTAATATAACTTATTTGAGAAATGCAATTCAAAACTATAGTGAAATACTACTACACTCCCATGATAGTTAAAGGAGAAGA